ATTTATGTAACCCTCAGCCTTTAGAAAATACATGCACACAGAACAAACAAACAAAAACTAAACTGTAAATCCATTTAGAAAATACATCCACCAATGCTTTGCCAAAGATACAGCCAAAAAAAACACATACAATACATCCCCATATCCATACATAGAAGTACATCCACAAAAAATACAAAATACAAATGTTACTGCAGTATTTACTGTTGTTTTTCTTAACCATAATCTAATACCTCTATGACGAACATTAAAATTGGGCTGCACTTTTAATTCAGTTGGTACACTTTCACAGTTTTGCTCCTTGAACAGAAAAGACTGATTGTCCAAATGTAACGCAAACAGTTAGCGTTTGTTGAAGCTGTTGTGTTGACTCTGCTGGTGTGCTGGTGTCTTGTGTCAAATTCATGAAGCAGAGAGGGAGCATGTTCATGGAGGCATTTCAAAATAAGCTTTAATTTGGAACAGATTATGAAACTTTCAGAGCTTAACATATTGTGTTTTTTAAAGATGCGACAATGGTGCCATCTTATTTTTTAGTCCATATTTTTTATTGTCTGAAAAACATTGGTATGAGGGGTTATATAGTTGATTGTGAGGCTTGTGATCAGGTGGTGATGCAGTATGATATATGTGAGGATATCATGGCATGCATACAGAGCTGGGCTGTGCTGAGGGAAAAATACTGACCTGTGAGTGTAAAAAAGTTTTGTTCTGCTTTAACTTTTTTTTTTTAAACTTTTACTTTGAGCTAAATGATTACCAACAGACAACAACTAATCTGATAAGGCTTTGTTTGTATTTTATGACATGAGTAAGAATAAGAGTAAGACATCCCAATGCCAGGTCTAAACATTGTAATAAAATTATTAAAATTATTATTTAAGATCATAACAATACCTATAAAGCTGCAATTATTCTTTAAAAAACACTTTCTGATGAAATTACTCTTTTCAATAATGTAAGTATTGCCACTGATGTACTGTAATATTGGGATTTTTGTGTACATTTTGGGTATTCTTGTTTTTTGTCATTGATACAAGAATTAACAGTTTCTCATGCTAGATGTCCAGAAACCAAATAAATGTGAAATTCTGACTTTGGAGGTCTTTATTATTATTATTATTATTATTATTATTATTTTGTTTAACTTGACCTGAAACAGTTAATTTATTAAACAACGGCAACGGAAGTTATTTGAATTTCAGTAAATGGAAGAATATGAGTAATTAACTGATTTTATTTTTCATATTTATTTATACACATACCAGTGGAGAGATAGATGGACTCATTCCTTACTTAGTTTGGTGCAGAGAGATGTGACCTCCATGTTTTCTTGCTGCTGACTGAACACGAGACTGAAATACAACCGAAGTACGAAGCTAAGAGCCTCCCCTTCCTGGTGAGTGTCTAGAGATGAAGCCACAGCAGATACATTATCTTTGTCTTTTACAGAGCTTTCTTTTTATTTCTTTTACAGAATTACGTAAATAAATCACCACATTAACACACATAACAAAGACAGAAGCTACCATAATCTTGTCAAAAGTCAATTGTGTCAACCTATCATATGTGTAGGCTTGCAGAGACAATGAACTTTAAGATGATTATTGCAGGGAAAACAGAGCTGCAGATTTGTAATGAAGAACTAACGAAACGACGAAATGAACTAACACCAACATATCCTTATGCAGTGATTGCACACACAATGGTTTGTAAAGAACATAGCAACCCGCTGATGACATTATGTACATAAAGAAAGTTACATAGGTTAGGTTAAGGCAGGTAAAGTTGATAGTTAAGGAAGAAACAAAACAAAAACATGGCAACGATATTCCTTAAAATAACTCAAAGCTGACTTGATTTCACAAAGTACCAAACACCACTCTCTTAAGGGAAAGTCATGTGTTGAATAGTCTTGTGTTTTTTGATACATCTACCACCAAAATCAAATTGTGGTACATTCATTTTCATAAGTACATGTTCAAACAGTGCATGAGAACTTAAGCTTTCTGTGTGGCCCTCCCTTATTTATTGTGGCCCAAACGAGCAGGTCTTCAGAGTCCTCTGGATTGAATCAACTGAGAAACGTGGAATAATAAAAACATTGTTATTCATCATTTCTCTTCATGACACAACAAAGAAGCATTTCACTAACAATTTCATGCAGATGGAGGATCTGACATTTTATTACAGCCCCCACTCATTGATTTATTGTGTCAACACACTGGTTTCTGCTGCAGTCAGTTACAGAATAGAATGATTCATATGAAATAACCTGAACATACAGAAGAATAAAGAAGACGTTTACAGAAATATAATCTGACTCTGATGAGAATGATTCAACGTACATGCAGACTTGTGCATTCTGACATCAACCTCTGAGATCCAGGAGAACAAGAAAATGAACATCAGTTCTCCATCTTTCCACAGTGTGGCAGTCTCACAGAGCCAGATCTATCTCCACAGCGCTGTGTCAGCACCAGAGAAAGGTCTGCAATCATCTATTATGTTTCTGATATATATATATATGGGAGGAAAACACTGCGGATTGCTTTTGCTTCTTTAAACCAATCACAGTCGTCCTGGTACGGACTTTCATCATCTCCCCCCACCCCTTCAAGTGGTTCTGTCCATGTGGTGTCAGAAGTGAAGCAGAAAGAAACAAATGAAATAAAGACAGAAAGAGCAGAGTTGAGTCTGAAATACAAATCAATCGGATAAAGGACAACAACTGTAAAATGTGGAAAATTGCCAGGGCTGAATTTTGCTCCCAGTTCGACCCCATGTCGTCATTAACAGTAAAAATCTGCACTCAGATTCAGGTGAGGTCCAGGTGGAGGGTGGAGGAGGAGGTTGAGTGCAGAGCAGGAGGAGTGGAGGAGTTTCAGTGTAGTAACATGGTCCAGTCAGAGTCTCCTTCTGGATCATCAGGACACAGCTGATCCTCTCAACACATCCACCGTCCTGTTTATCAAACTGCAGTTTACTTCCATCTGATGAGAGAAGAAGACAAGAGAAGTTATAAAGCAGCTGTCAGTCAGTGATGCAGCACATCCAGTATAAAGACCAGTAGGGACTTCCTGTTCAGAGCAGAGTGGAGCGGCTGTGTAGCGTAGTCGGCTTCCTTCCAGCTCTCATGTTAACGTGTTGGAGTGAACACACTGAGCTGGAAGCTCACAGACCTGCAGAGACTTTGGGCATCAAGTCTGTTTACTCTGCAGATTTCA